AATAAAAACACCGATATTATACATTTTAAAGGTTCAACTGCTTTTTTGTCAATCGAAACACATTCGGTTGAAAGATAAACTACTAAAGTGCAAAGGCTTGTGAAACTCTTAACTAACACTAGTTTATCTATCCGTACAGCACAAATTGTAAGACAATAATTAATCTGATATATTATTAAATAATATTTTATTATATTTCCTTAATTACAATTTCATATTTAACTTATATAATTTTGTAAGTTATTAATTAATTCTACATTTTAATTAATAAGATTATATTTTCTTTTGAGTAATGATACACCTACGGTTTAATATACGACCCATTACTTTTTTATTTTTTTATTTGTAGTAGGTGCTTGAAATATTTTTTTTTATGTCTTTTTCGTATTTATATTTATCTTCTACATAATGGTTTTAAAATTAATATCGGATAACATGTGGTATCTTATGTTGTATAATTTTTTATTTAATAAAAATTAAGTAATAAAATTTACACACATTTTTATTTTTTATTATCATTGTTAAACAAATTATAATTATTTTATCACAACTGATATTCTCTTTTCATTGTATTTACCCATTAGAGTCAAATTAAAAGTCACCATGTTATATACTTAAGATTTATTTTGAGTAAATAGTAATTTTTCTCATTCTATTTTCTTAGTGTCTATATAAAAATATTTAGATACTATACATAAATTATTATATAAATTGTAAATTAATGTTAAATTTCAATGCATTTTGTTCGAAAAATAATTTTATATAACTATGAACGGATTTTTTGTGTAGGTTGACCAAATTCAGTAAACAAAATATAAAATATAAACTTGAAACATAATCGATACTAAGAAAATTGCAAGAACATAGATTTATGACATATGTCTATTAATATATAAAATTATTTGCTATATTAATTTTGGTATATATATTATCATATCTATAATTCAATCATCCATATAAGAAAACTATTTAACCAAATTAGTTAGTCATAACATTTTTAAATATAATGACATTAATGGTTTATAAAATAATAAAAACATTAAACTTTGTATAGAATTAAAAAAAAAATATAGCTTTCTTACTTTGTCCAAAAAACTTTGGGCGGGAGACATACGTACAAAAATAGCATTAAAAGTTGGCTAATCTTTTTATACAAATGTAAATTGTTGGTGATTGAATGTGTGTGGATACAAATAAAATAATTTTTTATATAGTTAACCATGATTGATTCTGAAAGTTGAATTGATTAATATTAGTGAGATATTTAAATCATATTTAAAATAAAATGATTAAAAATTATTTGATATAAAGTAGGAGAAAAAATATTGTAAGTGGTAGATAGTTAAAATTATGTGAGTGAATAAATAATTTAAATATTTGTTTGAAAAATTTACCCATTTTTTTCAAATAAAATAACTATTTTATGTTATATTAATATACTCATAAATATCTATTACTTTATAAGATAACTTATGGTAATATTTGATATTTTTTAATATAGTTTGATATAGTATATAACTATGGATTTTTTTTATGTAGATTGACCAAATTAAGTAAATAAAATATAAAATACAAACTTGACACATAAGAGATACTAAGAAAATTTAAGTATAGATCTATGGCACATGTCTATTAAAATATAAAATTATTTGTTTCAATATAAAAATGTATCTTAATTTTATTATATTACCATTTTTATAATTGAATCATCCATATAAGACAAGAAAAAGATCAGGAATTGGTTTAATATTAATAATGACATTAAATGAATCCAAGACTAATTATTTTGTATAAAAAATATTCATTTAAATTCAAGTTTGACTCAAAAGCATGATTTTTTGCCATATAAGATTCTGAAGCGTGAGAGTCTGCTATTTAAGCTCAACGGATTCAATAAGTACATGTAGGGGTATTATATATAGGGGTGATGATCCTAGCCATATTTCACATAAGAATAATATGTATATGTATGTATGTGTGTGTGTGTGTGTGTATATTTGTGTGTACACACTTATCTTTAACTTAAAATGTATATCATACATAGTGTATAATTTAGTCAAATCAACGTCATAACATATTCAAATTCAATTAGACAAATTATATGGTTAACTTGCGGAGCACGTGCACCTTACTAGTATCAAAAAAGGTATGGTGAAAAAGAAAACAGCCAAACCACCCCTTGAGGTTTGTGTCTACATACAAATAAGCTTCTCCAGTCACAATTCATAAATAATTAAACAAATATCATACAGGGTATATGTAATACAGAAACACCATTGCGCTTGTCCAAGTAATTAATTAGAGTGAGTCCCAGGACAAATTCTAAACTTAATTCATTAAAACTAAACAAGCAAAACTATCAGCACAATGAGTGAGGAAACTGAAAGACAACTGAAACTAAGCTACATCCACCAACATTTAACTTACTCAACTACCTACCTACCTAAAATCACTAACAATCTATACATAATACATCTCCCCTAAAACAAGCCAAAAGAGGGAGAAAGGAAATAAAAGAACACAAAAGGCAGTGTCAAGATTCTTCACCTCTTACACCTCCAAGCAGATACCGAGTACATTGGCCGATCCTGCCAGCAAATCACCACACATCCATTTTCTTCCTTAATCCTATAACCCTCACAATTACTACTACTCTGCACTAGTCTCTTTGCCCGCAACATACTGTAATAACTCGAGGCAACATTCGCAAAACCTGCCAGCTCAAAGGTTCGTCTCCACTTCCCGAGACTCTCGTGCCTCTCTCTCCTCTCGGCCCCCTCACAAGCTATGATATCCTTAATCTCCTCCCCAAACAACACTTTTTCCATCGTCAACCTCTGCAGAGACTCCCTCGGTAGAGTTGACTCCAAACAGTCGAACAAAGCTGCATAGAAGTACAAAGAACCCGAGAGCCTCTCCATTAAGTTCTTCCCGTTATGATCCGAATCCTGCTCGGTCACCACCACGACTTTTGGGGACAAACCCCTTAGAGCACTCAGAAATGTGTCGATATCCTTATTGAGCAACTCCCTTTGCAAGTGTGAGCCAATGCCGTATTTATTACTTTGGGAGGCTAATAGTGTGTGCAGCTGCAGGGTCGAGCTAACCGCAAGGGCCTCGCCCGTCTTGACCCGCAATTTTTCAAAATCGAGTCTATCTATTGTGCTAAGGACAGGGTTGAACTGAAACGGAATATCCAACTTTTCTGCTTGCTCGGTCAGCACGTGGGCCATGTGGTCCAACACCTCCTTGTGCTGATGAATGGCCGTGATCCTGAGATGGGGCGGGCCCTGGGGCCGGGCACTGAGGTCCCGGATGAGGGCACACCACTGAGTGGGCTCGGCCGCACACAGGTCGATGACGTGGACCATTTTCTCACCCTCCATCGACTCCATTATTGCCTGGTTGCGGATCAAGAAAGCCACCCTCATGAACAAGCAGCACTCGGAAAACATTTTTCGCGCGAGGAATTTTTCTTGAGCGAGGGGATATGGATTTGTGGAAGAGTGGAAGGCCTTGTAGATACCGGGCCATGCTCTGAGGAGGCGGTCGGCAAGGGCCCGGGAGAAATAGAAAGCTATTCTCTGGATGGTGTCGCCGTGGGGTGAGGCAAGATAGGATATTTGATCGAGGGCGAGATTGGCATTCTCGAGGCTGCCGGTCGCCACGTGGCTGGCGCAAGTGAGCAAGAGGTGGATTAAGCACAAACCCCTCTCTTCAGGTTTAAGCTCCTTCAGCCATGGGTATGGTGACGTCACACCGGGTGGTGGTGGTGACATCATTTGAAGGGGTGATGAATTAGTAGTTACAGAAGATGATCCGTCTTCTTGATACATACTCTTTTTTTTTTTTTTACAAGAAACTGAAATTGTTCTTGAAATTGAAGAAATAAAGAATGATTCGAGACGAACACAAGCTAATGGTAATATTCAAGCAACCTAATTAGCAAACTAAATCGAGAATCACGAGCTGATTATGCAAGAAATCTACGAAACAGAGCTACGAAACTGAATCACAAGCTGAGAATTTTTCAACAACTCACCGAATTTTCACCCACCCACCAGCAAATTCGCACGAACGGCCAAAAACCCTCGAGCAGCTTCTGTGTTAAATTTTGAAGAAAACATAGGGTTGCTTGAGTTGAATTTAAAGGAGGATTGTGTTCGCAAAGGGGCTTCACATGGGTGGATTTTGTTGCGGATAAACTGGTTTTGTTGTCGTTTAGCCCGACTGTGGAATTTGTGTGAAGGAGTGCCTTTTTTTTGTACATTTTGCTTTTTGCACTCCACAAAAAGTTAAAAAAAGGGAGGGCCTTTTGTCGTGTAATTTTTGTCTAATCTTTTTTGGCATCACCTGTCGTCATCTCCTCGGACGGTGAAAATAAATGGAGTGTTTCTCCAATGAGGAAGACAGTCTGCGACGACGACTCAGCTATCAACCCAGGCAATAGTCGGTGAAGTTATGCCATGGATTTCGAGAGTCCAACTTTGTTGCGGTTGCAGATTGCATGGCGAGAGTTGCTACAAAGAACCCGAGTGGATTCCCATATTCCGAAGTGGCGCCGGATGAGATTTTAGAATGGTTGCACCACTTGGGTCTCGTACTCTCGACACGTACCGATTTTCGGTACTTAAGCATTAGCCTCTCTTTGTACCAAAAAAAAAAAAACTCAAGATTACTCGGGCTTGGGGAAATTCCTTAGCTTCAAATATATCGAAGTACATTTCTTATTTTGATTTTTATTTCATTTTTTATACATAATAAATAAAAATAGTATTCTTATTTTTTTGAGTTTGTAGCTTATAGCTTTATCAGAAATTTTAAGCTCGAGTTTTCTAAAAATGTTTGTCATATCAAACGAAGCTTATTTGAATACAAGGAGCTTATAAACTAATTAAATAAGCTATAAGGTAGTTTATTTGTGTACGAAACATAGTCTTACTTGGCCTTCTATACTTCTCCAATGTAGAATATGAAATGGCTATGTTTGGTAGGCAAATATACTAGCTTATAGCTTTATTTGGTTAGCTTATAAGCTCCTTGTATTTAAATAAGTCTCGTTTGGTAGGATGAATTTTTTTAAAAAGTTAGAGCTTATTTGATAAGCTTCTTTAAATAGTTTTTCAAATAAGCTAGTTAATTTTTTTTTTTTTATTCCAACTAGCTTATCAGCTAATTTTATCAAACACTTTTATCATATAAACTAACTTTTCAGCTATAAGTCATAACCTATAAGCTATAAATTCGAAAATTACTGATAAACTATAAGCTAGATTTCCCACATAGCTTGTTATGGCCTGAGATGGATAGATAGAGAATCAAGGGGCTGTCTCCCTTAAAATCTTTTTATGCTATTCAAAAGTTTCACTAAAGTCCAAATATATATATGCACCAACAAAGCCAAAACAAAGTGCCACCGCTTTTGTTTGCTAGCGTATCCAAGTGGTGGTGGGGTGGTTTGACAAGAAATTCTTCCGAATACAACGAATTGGCCTTCGGTGTCATGTGCATAAAGCCAAAGTTAGAAAGTGGTTGAGGAACCATCCAAAAGCAAACATCACGAATTTCACGATTCCAAGATTTGGTACCGGTCTGAAAATCTTGACTATAAAGCTCCTTTTCACCCACTTTTTTTTTATAAAAGGGGAAGAGTAAGACAAAATAAGATTCATTTGGATTTTGGAAATTTAATACCACGAGATTTAATATTTAGTAAACCATGAATGACTTGGTGTAAATTCACTTGAATACATTGTTTGCAAAAATAAATCGGAATAGCTCAAAGCCCCCGGCATAACTACTAAGCATAGTTTTTTTACCCGGACCGACCTGGCGGGTCGACTCGAAGACGGAACCGGTCCGAGTGGCTATTTGGACCGAGAAACTAAGGACCCGGTCAAAATTCGGTTGACCCGGTGCATTGACTAGGCGGGTTGACCCGGTCCATATATATATATATATATATATATAGGGATGCGCTCAAGTGAGAATTGTTCTTAATGCAAGAAATAAGAATACATCCTAACCATAAGATGTAATAATCTAACGGTTCAAAAAGACTGGAGAATTATGCACTGAAAAGGGTATATTAGGTATTTCAGCGGACCACCCCACACATACTTTCTCTCCCACATCAAACATTATGTGGGTCCCACACCCCATCATCTCTCTCTCCTCAATATCCCTTCAGGACATGACTTCCTCAATGGGCTATGAGCTTGTGGAAAACCTAGGGAAATACTTAGGTAGGCCAATCATCCACGGGAGAGTGAATCACGAGACCTACGCTAATGTTTTACATAAGACCGAATCACGACTCTCAGGGTGGAAGAGTTCGTCTCTGTCGCTGGCGGGTAGGGCCACACTGATCCAATCCGTGGTGAATACCTTGCCTTTTTATGCGATGCAAACTGCGTGGATGCCATCCTCATTGTGCACGAGCATCGACAGGAGATGTCGTCGCTTTTTGTGGGGAAGTACGGATGCCCAGAAGAAAATTAGTTTGGTGCGTTGGGAGGATTTGTGTCGATCCAAGGCGGCAGGGGGGCTAGGTTTTAAAGACCAGCGAACAATGAACAAGGCGCTTTTGATGAAATTGGGCTGGGGTTTGTTGTCTTCACCAAACGCTCTATGGGTTCAAGTTCTGACAGCGAAATATGGTCTTAATCAGATTAATCTCTCTGCAACCCTAGAGGTCCCGTGTGGCTCGACGGTAATACGGGCCATTGCCAGAATTTGGGAGCAAGTCGTGGACGGGATTCGATGGTCAGTTCGCAACGGCCAACGAGCGCATTTTTGGACAGACCGATGGCTTTCAAGCTCTACACTTCTTCTTCACGAAGCACTTCAACCGATACCCGAAGCCCAACTTCCCTGGACCTTAGATAAATTCGTGGATGACGCCGGAGCTTGGCGATGGGACCTTTTCCAGCCTTTGCTGCCGGCGACGGTCCTATTACGCATTGCAGCTACCTTACCTCCCTCTCCGGATCGGGGTGAGGACATTATGTACTGGGGATGGTCGGGAGATGGTCGATTCACCACTAAATCTGCCTACGAGTCCTTGGCGGGGTCACAGCTCGAGAACTCCGGGCGAGTATGGAAAGACGTTTGGGCTGGCCGGGTCCCCAAAGAATACGCCAATTTATGTGGTTGGTTGCGAAAGGCCGCTTGCTAACTAATGACGAACGATACCGACAGCATTTAGCGGAGAGTGCAGCCTGCGAGTTGTGCGGCGCTGAGCGCGAGACGATTCTCCACTGCCTCTGGGACTGTCGACATGCCGAACAAACATGGCGCCGTCTACTACCGCCTCATCAGAAGGTAATTTTCTTTTCCTCTGATATGGATCAATGGATGCGCCTAAACCTTAGAAACCACCTGCGCATTCAAGTTGATAATTGGACCAGTGTGTTCGGTGTTACATTATGGAATATCTGGAATGGAAGAAATTCACATATTTTCGGAAAAATTGGGCTAAATATCCTGGGACGCGTGTTATCAATTGATAGGCAAGTCGAGGGGTTTTTGTCGGCATCCCTTTTTGCTAAGAGCCTACGTGTTGTGGTGCCTTGTAGAGAACTCCGGTGGCTTTCGTGGACTAAGCCTTCGGCGGGTTTCATTAAATTGAATTCGGACGGTGCTTTCAATCGGCAAACCGGAATGGCCTCGGCCGGAGGTCTTCTTCGGGACGCCAATGGTAGGTGGGTGTCCGGTTTTGCAATGAATATTGGTTTTTGCTCGATCTTGGGTGCGGAACTATGGGGTCTTCTTCAAGGCCTAGCTTTGGCTTGGAGATTGGGTTACCGCATGGTGGTGGCGGAAGTGGACAACATGAACGTTGTTGATTTGGTGGTACGTAATGGCGAGCACTTAGGTATCCACAGTAGTATTATCAAGGGGATTAGGGAACTATTGGGAAAAGATTAGGCCCCGGAGATTCGATATATTCACCGGGAAGTAAATTTTGCGGCGGATTATCTTGCATCTCTAGCATCGACCATGCCAGGTGGCCTTCATATATTAGACGACCCTCCCAGGGGGTGAAACCGTGGCTAGAACATGATGTTCTCGGGGTATCCCACCCCCGTAATATCTTAGCTTAAGGCATAAGCCTCCTTATTTGTACCAAAAAAAAAAAAAAATCCCTTCAGTCCAAATTCATGATACAAACCAGGACAACCAATATAACCTCATCGACCCCGCCGTCACTCCGCCTGCCGTCACGCTGCGCATCCTCCCGTCACCGTCTCCAAGCTCTCGCCGTCGAAGAAGACGCTTCCACCTGCCGCCGTCGTCACACCGTCTGCCACCACTGTCACCATGTTTGCTGCCAAATATCTCCCCCCTCCACCGCGAAGATCCCATTGTCGCCGTCACGCCGCCTACTGCGACATATCTCCCCCTCCCTCCGCAGCGAAGATCCCGCGGCTGCCGCCACCGCCACCGCCTATCGGAGAATGGCGCAAACAGATACGGGACGCCACCAGCCCTAAGGGAGGCCGTGGAGGCCCTGCCAGATGTGGAGGTGGAGGCCGGATGCAATCCAGTGGTTGATTTGCTCCGATGCGGCTGCTCATGGTGGTGTGGTGGGTTGATGGATGCAATTGTGTGTTGGTAGAAAGTGACAGAAACTTTGATTTGGGGAAGGATTTTTAGTGAGAATTAGATACATTGTAGGGACTTATCTATATTTTTAAAAAATGTAAATATAATGTTATTTAATTAATGTTAAAATTGTAATTTATCCAACAGAAAAATAATAAGAGTAATGCTACAAGTACATAATAGTATACATGAGGGTGTACATAACACTCACATTGAGTGGGACCCACAA